AGAGCATTGTCTTTATAAGCTGTGTCATGCCAATTGAGCTAGATGTTCCCAGAGACCATGGTCCCCACAGTGTGGGCCTTGATTTTTAAAGTCTGTTTTATGTATCGTTTCTCTCTGGAGCCTCCTGTAGGAGAAGGTGTTGAAACTGTGTTGGGAAGGGCAGAGCTCTGGGTGCTGGTCGGCTCGGGATGTGGTGTGATAGGCCCACTGGTCCTGGCTGTGTGTAATGAGGCAGTCAGAGCCCTTGCCTACTCCCTGCTCAAGTGTGGCTCCAGATTGTGTACACTCAAGGTGTGGAACCCTGAAGAACCCCATGAAGAGAGCTGTGGCTCCTCACAGAGGGAATCCTTTCCATTTTCCTGGGTCCCCAACCCCTGGCACTGAAGGCCTCTCTTGTAAACAGCAGAGCTAAATGTCGAGTCATGCAGATGGGCAGGAGCACTCAGACCCTGCACGAGAGCACGAGGAAGAGGTATGTGAGTGAGATGCAGGCACCGAAGGCCTGGAAGTTCGGCCACAGGTCCAACAGAGATGGAATGAACGTCTATGATGCGCACAGGCCCACCATTCCCCTGTGTGTCTCCAGCGCTTATTGTGCTTTCTGGGCTCCACAACAGCAGGCGGTTCATGGAGGGTGTTCCTAGTCAGATTCCCTCTACGGAACGATTAGATGGGCAGGTTGGGCAGAGGCAGGGGAACTGGGTCCAGCTCACTGATGTGTGCCCCCATTCCATCTGGATGCAGGTGAATGAGGCAGAGGAGGAGCGGCTGCGTGGCGAGCGGGAGCACCAGCGAGTGACAAGGCTGTGCCAACAGGCTGAGGCTCGTGTCCAGGCCCTACAGAAGACTCTCCGGCGGGCCATTGGCAAGAGCCGCCCCTACTTTGAGCTCAAGGCCCAGTTCAGCCAGATCCTGGAGGTAGCTGAGTGGGGAGGGGAGGGAGAATAGACAGCTGGGAGTGCAGGAAGGGGTCAGGCAGGGAAAGTGAGGCAGGGTGGAGGGGAGACTCAGGTCTACCTTTCTGGTGGGGCCACTGTCCTGGTGGGGTGGGATATGCAAGGCCTATGGTGGTGGCACCTGTGCTCAGACTGACACCACAGGAATGGGTGATGGGGCTAGTGGTGGGCCAGTGGCAGAGAATGCAGCTGAAGAAGGGAGGTAAGCAAGAGAAAAGGTGGGAACAAGGGCACGGGGAAAGAGGGAACAATGCTGGGTAGACGCTTATTACAGAATCAGTTCTAACCCTAACAACCTGGAACTAGGTTAGATCTTACAGATTAAAGGCACAGTCCTTTAGACTGACAAGTCTGCCAAGGACTTCAGATGCTAGCCACAAGCTTGGGGATCCCCACAACCACCCTCACTTCTGACCAACTGGCTACAAATTTGGGGATTGCCTTTACCCCTCAGGTTTGATAATTCACTAGAACAACTCAGAACTCAGGAAAGCTCTATGCCTACAATTACAATTTGATTACAGCAAAAGGATACAAATCATGACTAAGCCAAACAACAGATACATAGCAAGGTCTGGGAGGCATCTAAACGTGAAGCTTCCGTGTCCTCTCCCCCTGGAGTCAGGATATTACCCTCCTATCACATCATGCATTGTCAATCAAGGAAGCCTACCTGAGCCTCAGTGTACAGAGTTTTTATTGGTGTCTCATTATGTAGACATGATTGATTGACTTGTTGGCAGCGGAACTGAACTCAATCTCCGTGTCCCCTCTGCTTCCTGGAGGTCCTGCAGATACCACTCCCCCACTATGAGTTATCTTGTTAGCATATTTAGGTGTGGTCTGTAGCCCTCCATGAATAACAAAAACACTCTAATCACTTGGGAAATTCCTAGGGTTTAAGGGTTACCTCCCAGATACTGGAGACAAAAGCCAAATTCCTTGGGTAAAGTTCTTCACCCCACACTCTGTTAATGGGGAGAAGAGGAGAAGCAGCAGCAGGTAGGGATGGGGCCTGGGAGGAAGACACGGCAAGGAGGGAAGGGCGAAGGGCATGGTCAGTTGAGGAGCGTGGCAGCTGTTGGTGGAGCTTGTGTGTCCTATTGGCTAATGAAACCAAAAAAAGCCCAAACCCATTACTGTTTAGTAGATTTTGACTCATAGCGACCCTATAGGACAGACCCATAGGGTTTCCAAGGAGGAGCTTATGGATTTGAACTACTGACCTTTTGGTTAGTGGCCAAGCTCTTAACCACCGCAGCAGTAGGGGAGAGGAGCGTGGGAGCTTTGTAGTGGGTACTGAGAGTAGCTGGGTGGAGGGCGTGGGGGACCCTATTGGTGCTGGGAGAGGAGGCTTGTGAATGCCTCAGCACCGAGTACTGAGCGGTGCTGATGGACATGGGTAGCTCCAGGGGTCACCTTACAGTGTCCCACCCTCTGCAGGAGCACAAGGCCAAGGTGACAGAGCTGGAGCAGCAGGTGGCCCAGGCCAAGACCCGCTACTCAGTTGCCCTGCGGAACCTGGAACAGATCAGCGAGCAGATTCACGCCCGGCGCCGGGGCCTGCCTCCCCACCCCCTAGGCCCACGTCGGTCCTCCCCTGTGGGGGCTGAGGCTGGGCCCGAGGGTGGCGAAGATGGGGACAGCGGGATCGAGGGGGCCGAGGGCGGGGGGCTGGAGGAGGGAGGAAGCCTGGGGCCGGGCCCTGGCCCTGACACGGACACGCTGAGCCTGCTGAGCCTGCGCACTGTGGCCTCGGACCTGCAGAAATGCGACTCGGTGGAGCACCTGTGGGGCCTCTCAGACCACGCCAGCCTGGATGGCCAGGAGCTGGGGCCCAGGAGTGGGGGGCCCCAGGGGAGCAACGACGGGGCCCGTGGGGGTCGCCACCAACGCAGTGTCAGCCTATAGTCGTCATTCTCAGACCACCGTCCCACTCAGGGGCCCCTCTCCTGGGGTCTGCCCTTCCCTAGGTCACCTTCTCTAGTGCTTCCCTTTGAGAGGCAGCCTGTGTCTGGAGTGCTGTCTGTCATAGCTTTCTCACAGACTCCTCTCCAGGTGGTAGCTCTCACCTTGCCTTACCTCATCAAGTCTCGCTGTCGGCTCGCTCTCCTGCTGGTTCCTGTCTGTCTGTCCCATACTCTTTGCTTTCCTCTTTCTGTCTGACCCCTCCTTCCATTCCTCTGGCTTTTCCCCATCAGGGAACTTGGTCTAGAAGACGCACGGAAGCCCATCAGAGAAGGGGGTGCAGTGGGGCGGAGTCCTGTCCTCACTGCCCCCAGCCTGAGTTGCTAGGCACTGCTCAGGCCACGCGCCTGAGGTGGCCCCGGTGACACTACTGAGTCCTCTTGGAAACCCTGTACCTGTGTCTTCCTAGACTGCCCAGAATATAACCTGTAAGACAGACTGTGCTCCTCCCTTGAAAACACTGCCTCTTCCCTTCAGTGCTTGCCTCTCATGCCTTTAGCGGCACTGGTATATGTGCCCCAAAGCAGGACTCACAGGGTGATGATGTTAGGGAGGAGGAAACCCAACCCCAGTATCAGTGTAGGGAACACCAACTCCACACTGGCTCTCCATGCTTGTGGTGTTTCCCCAGCTAGGCTGGGTCCCTGCAGACTGCAAAGGTGCTATTGGGTCTCTTGGATCCATGTTGGGGAGAGGGTGTGAAGATGTAATGAGATCCTGATGATGGGGGCCCCATTCCCGGGCTTCACCCCCCTGCTGGGGAGTGGGATTTACCTTTTCTGGGTAGAGGCTGCTGAACTGAATTTCAGCACCCTCCTGCAGGGTGGAGTTAGGGAATTTGGTGCTCAGTTGCTCTCCCTGGGTCTTCCGCAAACCAGACAGTTCCTACTCCAGGGTTCTTCGGAGAGTGTTCAAGCATGGCTACCCAGCCTCCTACCTCCCTTGATGCAGGGAGGAGTCTGCCTGGGGTCCAGGATCCCAGCCCTCCACAGGCAGCCCCAGGTGCCTTGTGCTGTTCCCAGGTTGCCAGGAGGGAGAGGTGGGGAAGCCACATTAGGATGGGGGTGCCTTGGGAGAGCCAGGCCTTTCCCTTGTCTGACCCCAGGAGAGTGTAAAGCGGGCTCTGCACAGGACAGAGTGTACATTGGCCTGCCCTGTTCCTCTGCCCAGAGGCTGCCTCCATAGCAAGTGTCTCCCTGCCTTCTGGTCAGGGGAGGATGGTCATAATGAGGACCACAGGTTTGAGGTGGCCATTGAGTGGAGGGGAGAAAGGGAATGAGGACATGGGTGTGTGTGCGTGCATGCATGTGCGGGTGTGTGTGTGGGAGAAGGTCTGCTTCTGGTTTTATTTAAATAAAATAGTTTATGTAACAATAATGTTTACTGTCCCTGTCAGGAGTGAGGGTGAGGCAGGTGGGGAAGACCAGGGTGGGCTCTTCAGTTGGGGTGGTCAGGGAAGGCCTCTCGAGAGTCATCACCTGAGCCCAGAGCTGAAGGACAAGCTGGAGGGAACCACACTAGGGTAGGAGGGGAGAATTTCCAGGCAGAGGGGCGAGTGGGTGCACGTGAGTGGCTAGGCAGCCACAGGGTGAGTATGGACATCCTGGGTGAGTGTAGACATGCTGGGTGAGATGAAGAGTGCCAGTGGAGGACTGCAGGGTGGGGCGGGCACTATTCGAACCACTGTAGCGGTCCAGATGGAGAGACATGAGGGCTGGAAGAGGTAAGATCCTGTATGTGCATGGGTGTGAGCCTGAAGGAAGGGGAGGGATAAAAGTAGGGTTGCCAGATGCAAGTAAAAATACAGGACGCTTAGTTTAATTTCCAATAAACAGTAGTTTTTGTCCCATACAACCTCTAGGGCATACAGTAAAAATTACTGTCTATCTGAAATTCAGACTCAACCTTTTGTAGGTGACTTCCGAACTGGGGTTGACTGTTAGCTGGGGAGGGTGAGTTTGAGTTCCTTTGGAACCATGTGATTGGAGATGCCTTTGAAATATCTGGTAAAATCAGGCTCTGGGAGTGGGAAGGAGGATGAGAACTTCAGGAACTGCATAGGTGGAGAGCAAAAGGCTCTGGACTGAACTTGGATGTGCCAGCATGTAGAGCCAGGACGTCCACATGAAGGAGGTCCAGCCAAGGAATGGACAAGGAGCTGCCAAGGAGGAGGGCGGGGAACCTTGGGCAGGACAGGAGTGTCCTGGAGGCCGAAAGGGCAGGGTGAAGCCTAGAGTTGGAGGGTTACAAGGGCAGAGCAGTGATTTTGGTGACCTCAGCTTGATCAGTGTCATGGGGAGGTGACAGTGGATGCCAGACATGTCTGGAGCCTTCAGTGTGCCCTTAGATACTACTGCCCAGTCTGACTGTGCCTTCCCTCACCTGGTTTCTGAACTGAGGAATGCAAATAGGTGCAAAAATATTTTCTTTGTTACTGAAAAAGCAGCTGCGATTGTGCACGGCTTTGCATACTGAGAGGACCACCCATCTTTGACAACACAGGACCTGAGAGGCTCCTGGCTTGGAGGAACCCCAGGAAACAAGGGCTGGGTTGTGCCTGGCTAGTTTTTCCTCACAAAGTAACCTACCAGATTAGTCATGCCCCCCACCAGTGGGAGACAGGCCAGCAGGGTTAGAGCTAATGGCACTTCCTCCACATGAAAGAAAAGAGTAGACATGGCAAAGCATTCTAATAAAAATAAATTCTAATAATTAGCTTAATAATTGTCACATGTACCAGGTACATACACCTATCTTGGTCATTGTCTTAGTCATCTAGTGCTGCTATAACAGACATACCACAAGTGGACGGCTTTAACAAAGAGAAGTTTATTCTCACAGTCCAGTAGGTTAGAAGTCCAAATTCAAGGTGCTGGCTCCAGGGGAAGGCTTTCTGTCTCTGTCAGCCATGGAGGAAGGTCCTTGTGATGCATCAGTCTTCCCTTGGTCGGGGAGTATCTCAGCACAGGGGTCTAAAGGATGTGCTCTGCTCCCGGCACTGCTTCATGGTATGAGATCCCCACGTCTCTCTGCTCGCTTCTCTTATATCTCAAAAGAGATTGGATTAAGACACTAATCTTGTAGATCTCATCAATATAACTGCAACTAATCCATCTCTTTACATCATAGTGATAGGATTTACAACATAGGGAAATCACATCAGATGACAAAATAATAGATAATCATACAATACCGGGAATCATGACCTAGCCAAGTTGACCGGTTTTTTGGGGGGACACAATTCAATCCATGACAGTAGGTAACACCACAATTCCCTTTTTATGGATGAGGAAGCAGGAACCCAGTCTCGTCTAATCGAGGCTGGCTCCAACCCATGCATCTGGACTTGAGTACAGACTAGAGCCCCTTCAGTGAAGGACCCCACAGGACGGGAGGTGAGGAAGTGGTGGAAGGGAGTGTAGTCACCTCTAAGCAAGGTTTGCTGGGAAGAGGAGCTGAAAAATCTCAGGAAGGTTAAGGGCTTTTAAGGTGAGCAAGAGATGGCAAAGGTGGGGTCTCATCCCTCATTCCTGTACCTCCCTGTTTGCTAACCTCACATGCGCTCAAATCTGTCCTCAACATGTGCGGGGCTGGGGCTGTCACTTCAGTCTCCCCGGCACCTTGCACATTCTTGGCTCCTAAAAGACTCAGAAAATGTACTTTTGCTTCTCACCCCTTTTCCCAGTGACTGTTTCAGTACTGGGGTTAGGAGGTCAGGTTCTGAGTCCCAGGAACAAATCTCCATGCTCTAGGGGAATTTTCCAATTTCTCTATGCTTTCGTTTATCGCCTATTAAGTGGGAATATCTTGGGTGTGCTTAGCACGATGCCTGGTCTGTGGATGTTGGCGGCAATCATTTAGCAATTCTCTGCAGCTTTGGGATGCAGTGAACTTAACGTAAAAAGACGTCATCTCGTGCTGCACAAGGAGACTCTATAAAGACTCCACTGAGTGCATCACTGTATTTTAGGTTTCCCTGGTCTGAATGTGATTTCGGCAAGCTTAACAAGCCTGACCCACGCTGGGGCGGGGCGGGTTGCGGGTTGCGGGAGAGGGGTGAAACCTCAAGCCTGGCGGGGAGATGGGCTTCTCCGACATGGTCATGCTTTGCCGGCAGGGGGCAGCAGACACCCGCACCGCAGAGATTCGGGTCCTCTCTGCCGCGCACACATCATCTCCTTTGTCCTCCAGGCCTGCTAGGTTGGCATTGTGGGCACTTTGCAGAGGCGCCTAGGAAACAGCTCATGGGATGAGGGGGTGATATGACCAGAATTGAACCCCATTTGTCCCCACCACCCCACCACGGGCATCTTGGATCTCAAGATATCTTTCGAATTGGGTGCTGTAAGAGCTGGGCCAGGTCGGCAGGGTGTGGCTGGTCTGGGGAGTTGGGATGTATGGTGCCTGCTGATGCCCTCTGTTCTTCTAAGAACACACCTGCTTCCTTATCCTCCCTGATGTCCTGTCCCTCTCCCTTTCTGCAGCCTCATTCCATATTTCCTCCTTGGAAGATAAATAATAGTGAGCAGGGCCTATGCAGCCTCTTCCACTAGGGGGAGATTAATTTGGACTGGGCTAGAGAGCTGGGGAACCAGCCTTTGGTCAAAAGTCCACACGAGCCAAGCCTTTAAATACAGGCAGAAGTTTAACAAGTTTGTCCTTATAAAAGCCTTCAGCTGATCCCCAGTGGGGGAGATGGGTTTTCTGGAGGAATCTATTTCCCTCTGTCTCCTATATATTGATATATAATAAACCTCTTGCTGCTCACCTCACCCCTGTCTCAGAATTGGCTATTGTGGCAGGCAGGCAGCTCCAATCCGTGTTACTGCGGGAGTGCTAGTTCTCTCATGGCTCTTTTGTTGAAGAACTGGTCCAATGTTGTAGGCATATATCCACTGTTGGTCCTAAGTTCCTTCAAAGAAGGACTAGGAGTTACTCAAGACTCCATCTCACTCAGCATTTAACATGGTACAAGAGACATTGTAAGTAGAGTGACCATATGTGATTTATGATCTAAACCCAGACATTCTTGAGTGTGAAAAGGGGCAGGCATGAACTGACACTGTCCCAAGTAAGCCAGGATGTCTGGTCACTGTTGTTCTAAGTATTCAGTAAGTGTTGACTGGGTGGAGAGCTGAAGTATTGAAAGCACTGGACCACACTCTTCCAAGAAGACTGCTTTTGACCTGTCTCTGCCAAGAGGGCTGTGTGCACATGGATGAGCTTCTCTGGGCCTCGGTATTCTAGTATGAAAAAAGAGGAGGCTACCTTTGGTAAGTTACCTCTAAAGTTATCTAAAGCACTAAAATACAGATGGTGGTGGGGACTGGGGTGTCTGAGAGGAGTTTTGGTGGACAATGTCTGGGCTTAGTTGGTGGCTAGAGCAATGGCTCATGTAGAGGTGAGATGGTTGATGCATCTGCAGAGATGGTTTGGGGTTAGAACGTGAGGCCAGAGTTGGTTAAGGCCTAGCCCAAATGCAGTGGAGGGCTATTTTCTGTTTCTGCCCTTAGAGACAGATTCCCTCTCTCTAATGGAAACATTCTAAGTCTTCATGCCCCTTCTTGTTGACAGGTTCCTTCCAACTGGGCAGTTTTGGGGGATGAAGGGATGACTGTCCACTGAGGCTGAGGAACTCGACTTGCCAGGCAATGGTTTCTCCTTTCCAGGGCATTCACCACATATTGTGGGAGAAAGGGGACATCAAATGAGTTTCTTCTCTATTTAGGAAAGAGTAACATTATAGGACACAGTGGGGAAGAAGGGCCACCAAGTTTGGCAAGAGAAGATAAATGCTCTCCTTCCACAGCTGTTGCTTTATCTCACATGTCCCTTCTAGGTCCCTCATCTCTCAGGTCTCCTTATGATTTCTGTGCTAGCACACAGAGGGGTAGAGTCCTCTCCATACCCAATGGAAGACATTTCCATTGTATCAGGGTCTGCCCTTCTCCAGAGGTGGGGCTGGAATTCTCACAGGAACTTGGTAGGCTGGGGGAGGGAGGAGAGGGGATAGTGGAAGGGGCTGGTGTGGAGGACTTACTGGCACTGGGCTCATGGAGCTTGCATGGACTCTCTCAGAGGCTGGCTCATGCACACACACGCACACACACACACACACACACATACACACACGCCTTCCAACCTTGGGTATTCTGCTGTGCTTTCAGAGTCTTGCTCTCCTTGGAGAGAGAGAGGCCAGAAGCCTACCTTCCTGTACCCCAGGGGTGGCACTGTTGACAGTTGTCACTCTCGTCTCATCTGGTCTTCCTTCAGCTGAGCTCTGCCCCTTTCAATTTGGACAGGATTTCAAAAACGTCTGATCACAAACCCTCCTTTCCTTTAAACAATTTGCATTTGAACAGAAGTGACCCTGGCTGTCCGATTGGAAGGAGCCTGTCAACAATA